CTTTCACTTAGCGTAAGTTTTGAGGTTTATTCCTGTTGTAGCATGTTACCAGTCATTTTTTACTTTTTCTTGCTGAATAGTGTTCCACGGTGTGGATGTACCACCTTTGGTTTATCCTTTCACCAGCTGATGGGAATTTGGATTATTTCTGGTTGTTGGCCATTAGGAACAATGCTGTTATGAGTATCTGCATACAAGTCTTGGTGGCACATGTTTTCATAAGTGGAATTATTGTGTTGAATGGTAAGCTTATGTTTAACTTTTTAAGAAATTGACAAACTGTTCTCCAAAGTGGCTGTTCAAGTAGGTACTATTATCACCATGTCCCCATTTTATTGATGGGGAAACCAAGGCATGGAGAAATTCAGAAAATTGGGCAAGACCATAAATAAAACAAAGCCTGTAAGTGATGGAGGTGTGAAATGAACATGAGCCATCCAGCCCCCATGACCTTAACACTTAACTTTGGTGGCCACTTTCTGGATTGGAAATTATTCTCAGTTTCAAAGAAATAAACTTGTCTACTTTCCTACACCTGATTTTGGTTTCAAAACTGCTAGAGAACATGTGATTCAGCTCTGTCTGTGGGAATTTGCCTGAAGGAATGTCTGTGATGTCCTTTTCCTTCTTTACTTCCAAGGTCATTCCCTAAGCAAATTTCAGGCCACTCAAGTATTTTTATCTTTGCATTTCTTCCATGGGAAAAATGAGCAAATCTGGTGAGTGTTTTGCCATGGGGATTTGTAAACTCTCTAGTGACTATGTCTCCTTTCTTGGACCAAGCACCACCTTCTTAGGACAAAATAACATTCTAGCTACTGATTCAACACGTGTGCCTAGTGGTTCTCCTTTTAATTAGCAGCTGGTAGCTCACTCCAGTAGTAGCCTGTGGGCTGACAGTTGCTCAAAAGACCCTTTCATCTGACTGGTAATTACTTCCTCCTTACTTTAAAGGCCATCTTAGTCCTCACCCCTTCTGCTTTGAAGTTCTTCAGTGGTCACCACCCTTGCACCCTCACTTTGCGGAGGATCACTAAAAGCCACAATAGCCATTCTCCAACATGCTCTGTACAAAGGAGTGAGGAGATGTATTTTTAGGCCTTCAGGTTGCATGTGATTGATAATATGAAGTTTGGGGAATATATATGAACTACCTTGAGAAGGGCTTAATCATAGCTAAGGTTTTTGTGAGGTTCTGCTGAGATCTTTGAGTTCTAATAATATATTCTTAGGGCATGGATGTTTTCTAGTTGTGATTACTCTGGGAATGTAATATGCTAAAAATAGTAAGAGGCATAATTGTGACCCAAACTCAGATCTCAGATATTAAGCCCTAAATGATCCTGTACCCCAAGACTCCTATCCTTTAGAATCCCTTTGTGGACCTGTAGGCTAACTGTCCCTTCTCTGGGTTCTTGCGCCACCTCATGTATTTTCCTATCATTGCCTTTACCACAGTATATTGAAATGTTCAGTATCTCCCACTGTATTTTAAGCATCTGCAGGGAGGAAGACATGGTGTGTCTGCATCTGTACATTTTAACCTCAGACACAGAAAGTGTTTGAGTTAATCATTCCTTCTATTAACAGTTCACTGTCATCATACATACAAGTCCCTCCTCACCTTGTTTTAAATTTTATTTCTTCTCTTCCACTCCTGATCCCCTGCTCATATTGTTATGGATAATAATAACACCACCACCGCTTAGTGAGCACATACTGACAGGCATTATTTAATTACTTAATATTAACTCAGCTAATCCTTTCAACAACCCCAAGAGTAGTTACGGATTATTATCTCCTATTTTTCAGAGACTGGCCCAAGGTGACAGGGCAGTTAAGTGGTGGAGTCAGCATCTGAACCCAAGTGGCCTGGCTCCCGAAGCTGTGCCCTTAGCTACTGTTATGCTCTTCTCCCAGACACATGTGCTCTTGTGGTTGATGGGGTTCCTGGGATGAATATCACCTCCTAAAGTGTATGTTGCTGTTCTTTGTGTGTGATGTTTTCGCTGTAGAACTTATTCCGCTTCTTGTTCTCTCTCGGCACCCTCTCCCGGTGCTGTTGGTTCGAGTTCACCTCTCCTGACTGCTGCATGCTATTCTGCACTGGAGGTCCACCCCACCTTACTGAACTCTTCTCCTCATTTGGGGTGTCTTCCACTCACTACCTCCACAAACAGTGTTGCAAGGAACATCCTTATCTATGGCCACTCATGAACCTGTGCTAGAGTTTCTCCTGGGGACGTACGCACGAGCAAATCTCTGAGTCAAAGTGCATGTGAATATTTTTCTTCACCAAGTACCAACAGATCACTCTTCAGAATGGTAGTACAATTTCATGCTTCTGCCAGCCAGCACCAAGGGTTTCCTTCACGTCCTCATCACAGCTTGGTAATTTTTGGCTATTCCGATGAATGTGAAATACTATCATACAGTTTTAGGTTGTATATTTCTGGTTACAGGTAAGGATGAGCACTTCTTTTCTTGGCCATTTGGGTTTCCTCTGCCTTATTTGTGTGTATGTGTGCGCATGTGTGTGTGTGCACTGATTTTCCTTGTATAGTCTAGTTGGTGGTTTCCTACAGCTTTTATATGTTGTAAATGTCTTCTCCCTGACTGTCATCTGTGCCTTTCACTGAATGGAAATTCAACTAGTTTTTAAGCTTTTAGGGTTTGATTTAATAAGCCATTCTCTACCCTTTAGTCACAAAATTTGTGTATATTTTCTTCTATTAATTTTATAATTTTCCTTCTACATCTATATCTTTTATCCATTTGGACTTACCTTTTTATGAAGTAAAAGGAAGGGATCCAACTTTGTTTTCTCCCAAATAATGAATCTTATTCCCATTTGATAAATAATCTATCTTTTATATGGTTTGCTTTTTTAAAAATCGTATTTTAAGTTCCATGGATAAATGAGTCTATTCTTATGCATTTTCCTCTATAACTTAGTAGTGTGCCTTAATATCTGGCAGAGATTAGATTCAAGGATCTTTATTCTATATAAGTTTTAAAGTAAGTTGTTGAGTTCTTAAAAATATATATTTTATTGCTGAAAACATCTGGTAGATTTATTGGTAGGTAAATTCCTTGCTTCTACATGATTCTTCTTTACCTTTATACTTTTACTATCTGGCGCAGTATCTCACATATACGGTACCTCAGTAAATAAGAACTATTATTCAACTGATTTATGGTCTCCTTTCAAAGTGACAGGGCAGGGAAATAAATGATGTGATAATGGAGGTCACATTTAAAGTCATCTTATCTTCTTCTGAGTGAGAGGAGGGAGAATAGACCAAAGATCAGGGAGCTGACCCCTTCTGTAACAGAAACAGTTGTGGCTTTGGCTTTAATTCTCATCATAGAAGATTAGAAACTCTCTGTTGAGAATAGATTCTGTATAGAGCTTTAGAAATGGCTACACCCAAGGGTCAATAGACATATTCTTAATAGATTGTCAAAGGAAAATAAGAAGCTTAAAGTGGGAGCTGAAAGGGGAACATTTTTATCAAATAATTCATATGATCCAATTGGCTTACTTGAATACTGAGTTGCAAATAGCTCCATAAAAGCAGTTTATGCTACAGAAATGGGGAGAATGCCATCTAGTGGGAATAAATCTGTACAACACCATGTGATCTTCAGTCCTAAGGAATAGTGGGAAACACTTTAGAGCGCCTATAGGATGTGAGAAACCAGTCTTAAGAAATTTCCACATTATGGCAATAACCCCACGAGACAAAGATATTCATTACACCTATTTTGAAGGTAGGTAATTGAAGCTCATCGGGGTTAAGCGACTTGCCCAAGGTCACAGAGCTAGTACTGCGTTGAAATTGAGACTGTGGCTCTAGAATCTGTAAATTCAATCTCTTTGCTATTTTGCCTGAGAGGAAGAAGGAGTGGTGGGCTGGAGTTGACTCCTACCAGCTAGAGGGCATGGATGGCGTACATCTCTCCCCACCTTTCCATTCAGTAACATCATGTTGGTAGTTCAAATAACATGATGGTGGGAGTATTTACACAATGGAAATCAGAATTCTACACATCAGGGCCCTGTCCTCCTTCTCTCCCTCCACGCATCCCTCCCTCCCTTCTTTCTTCCATTCTCCTTTCTTTCTTCCCTTTATCTTCTCTCTCTCTCCACCAGAGAGCTGGTTTGCCAACACACTCTGGGTGAGATAAATTAAGAATTCAGAGACATATCCATAAGCGTTGTTTAGGAAAGTTGGAAAAGAGATTTGGAAGACAAGTAGTTTTTGAGAAAACAACAACAGTATAAAAGATCCTAAGACTTTTTTTCTTGATTTGTGTATTAGAACAGAAACAGGTAGTTTATGACTGGTGTAGAGCTCCTTGAAACGAAGAAAGACTTACTGGAGTGTAATGTGAATTTGCTCAACTACTCTATGAGGAAAAAAGACAGAACAGTTGCAGGGTCTGTGTTGCAAAGCACACATTAAAAATGGCCAAAGGGACAGAGGAGTCAGAAAAACAGGCAGAACCATTTTTAGAGGAACTTAAGTTAAATACAGTAGGACCTCATTAACGAGTGTTGAAATGGGCAAAGAAGAATTGGAAAATTCAGAGAACAAACACACGTATGCCAGCTTGAAGGGTTCAAATCATAGGCTGAGAATGGCCATGGCATTTAGGGGAAATGACACAAAGTTTCTACAACTTCCTAATTTAGAACCCACAAAATCTTTTGGGCTAAAGTGACTAGAAATATTTGACTCATATAATTATCCTACTCAAAAACCTTCCATGGACATTACTGGCAAAATGTTGATAGTTGTTGAGGCTGAGATACATAGGGTATCATCATACTACTTCTTTACTTTTTTGCATGTTTGAAATTTTATGTAATTAAAGTTAAAAGAACAGGATAAAGGTCAGGCAGCTAAAGAGATACAGAAGCCAAGGGTGGAGAGTTTTTAAAAAGGGGGTAGTCAGCAATGCTGCATGCCCTGGGGGCCAAAGAGGATGGAGACTCAGGCCGTAGGGTCTGACTTTTCAGAGTGACTTCTTCGGATCAGGACTTGCCAGACATATTCTTCAGTTACTTGGCCTTTGCAAACAAAAACAAAAGCTTTTGTCATTGGGTGCAATTACAATGTTCAGTGCCACAAATGTAAGTCATGTCAGTGCTTCTAGATATAAGAATACAGATGCAGAAATTAATTAAATACTCATGAAAAGACAGAGGCATTTTAATCATTTAACAATTTGATTAGTTCACAAAGAGGTTAAGGTACTCTTTGGCAATATTTAGTTTTGATTACATATTATATTTTGCTGTATTAAGATAAATCTCACATAAAGTTGAACAAGACTTAGTCAAAAATATAAAAATAAAACATAAACATTTAGCTAACAGTATACTCCACGGTAAGTAATTCTAACCGTCCTTGCTCATCTTGCTAGTCTTAGTTAATTGATTGAGTCTACTTGGCATTTTTATGCTCCATGTGAAGGTGGTCCTGGGCCACGGGAAAGAGGAGTCAGAGTTTTCCAGTGTGACAGTGGATGTCTTTTTTTTTTTTTGGCAGAAGGCTGCACCATGTAGCGTGGAGAGCAGATCCCAGGTTGTATATTCTCTTGTGTTTGCAGCTTGGACTTTGGGGTTTATTCACTGAGTTATCTGGGTCCTGATTCACCAGAGCATCGGCCTGTCTGCTCACACACCTCAAAGCGATCAAAAAGTCTTCTGGCCTTTCCTTTCCGCACCTCAATCACTCAATGACCAGAGCTTACCTTTGACTTTATCTCCTTCCTGCGGCTGTCTCCACAGATTCCCTGAGTGCAGAGAAATGGCTTCACCCAGTTCCACTTCCCGATGCCACTGCTTGTTTGGACCTGCTCCCATGAGATGGGGAATCTGGGGTAGGTCCACTGCTAGGGCAGGGAGTCAGGGGAGCGGGTGGGGAGTGAGGGGCTGGAGGTATGAGTTAAGTCATGGTTCTTCTGATCTCCAGCCTCAGCAAAGGATACAAATCCAGACTCTTTCATCCATGTCCCGTAGAATCTTCCAACAGACATGCCATTGTTCCTTGGGGAGCCAGGTCATGGTTAGGAAGAAATGTAAGAGGGTGGTTGCAGGGATCTGTATACAACTGACCTCCAGGTGGCTAGACTGGGTTTTCCAAGGTTTTTTCTGGGTCTTTGAATCTAGAAACAAGGAAATTTTTCTCACTGCATTTATGAGTACAGTGTGTCAGGTCCTTTTTCTCTGAGAAGGGAGATGAGACAAGGCACCGGACTGAGATCCTGTGAGGTCTCTAGGCTTCTGAGAGTTGAATTGCCACCCCCTCCTGATAAGGATTTCTATCATTTATGGTCCCAGCTGCACTCAGGGCCATCAGCCATACTTTATTATCCAGCATCTGGTTTGAATAAACTGCAGATTTATTTGTCGTCTCTGAGGGCTCTAGGCAGGAGATGCAAACAGCAGCTTTTGCTAGGGAGGCGTGGATGTAATGAGACCCTTTTCTCTTTTGCATCCCTGGCTCTGATGGGGATCTCTGAGGGTGCTCAGTGGCACAGTCTTCTCTTGGCCCTTATCTTTCCTAACTAGTCCAGTGAGAGTGCGAGAAAAGAATTCTGTCCTGAGCCCCTCTTTGTGCCCCAGGAGGAAATAAACAGGAAGGTCAGGATATAAAATTTATTTGGAGGGGAATTTAATTGTGCACATTTGAGGTTTGAGGTACATCCCTGACCCCTCAATACATAGACCTCCACTGGAGTATTCCTACATTGAGTTGTTTTTAGTGAGGTGTTCTCTCCCAGACTCTGAGCTCTTAGAGGATGAATTTTTGTGTGTTAACCTTGAGTTATCAGCATCTTGTTCAGTTAGGAGCCCATATGCTCAATACACTTCTGTTGAATGAATAAGTGCACTCATCTTTGTATAGGGGCTTATAGTTTATTACGCACATATTGTTTCCTTTGAACCTCAAAACAACCCCGTGAAATGCTATTGCGATCATTTCTGTTTTCCAGATGGGGCCAGGGCAGGTTTAGTGACTTTCCAAAGATCACCCAGAGTAAGAACTCAAATCTAGATCTTTGACATGAAAATCTAGGGTCTTCCCATGTGCCACACTGACTCTAGGCCTTTCCCATCAGTATATAATAAACCAGCCAGTTACTTAACCATCTGAAAAGAACATGAAAATATAAATATTGCCCTGCTGGATCAGAACCATGAAGAGAACTGCAGCCTAGTGTCCAGTGTGACAGCAAGAGTTCTTAGGAGTACGGTCATTTCAGAGCTGGAGACATAGCCTTCATAACATTCTCAAAGACCCTGTAGGAACCTGCTTACCAATTTTTACTCCATTATGGATTGAAAAGCTTCATGGTGGTATCTTTCAAAGCTTTAGCTAAAGACGCATTTGGGGCCCTGTGTCTTATCTTAACAGCATCATGGTGTTGGGAGAGAGGCGAGACTATGGCATTAGTTGTCTGTTTTTTCAAAGACATAAAGGACTGTGTTTAGGGATTGCGAAGTGTTGGACACCAGCTGGAGAAATTCAAAGCGGCAAAAGTATTTGGAAAATTGCAGTGTTCAAATCATGGCAAAAGTTGTAATAACTGGTTTACAGTGAAAGTAACTGAGGTTTGGTGTGAGTTTTGGCTCCTCCTTGGGCTGGAGTAAGTGCCAAATGAAGACTGGCAAACTGTGGCTTGGGATCAAATCTGACCTGCTATCTCTTCTTGTAGAGCCCACAAGCTAAGAATATTTTTCGCATGTTTAAATGGTTGAAAAAAAATCAAAAGAATATTTCCTGATGTGTGAAAATTATATGAAATTCACATTTCCTTGTCCATAGATAAAATTTTATGGGAGCAGAGCCATTTCTATTCATTTATATGTTGTCTCTGGTAGCTTTGGGGCTACCACAAAAGTTGAGTACTTGTGATGGACTTTCACAGGGAATTTATGGCCTGCAAAGCTTAAAATATTTACTATGTGGCCCTTGACAGAAAGTTGCTGACCCCTGACCTAGTAGTGCCTTGCTTTGTTCAAAACAGGCACTCAAATAATTGTCAGAGGGTTAAGTCTGGGAATACTAGATGTCACTGTGACATTGCTGGAAGTGGGTCCAGGAGCTGAATACTTCAGGGCACCCCCACACGCCCCTCACCTCTTGGATGATTGAGCTGCTATGGACTGAGCTGTGTTCTGCCCCTGAGCCTACGGTGCAGCTGAGTCCTCGGCATGCATCCAGCTCAGTGTGGGCTCTGACGTTTTCACATTCAGTTTGCTTTGAATATCCTCATTCTCTATACCCTGCCTCTCAGCCGCACATCCCTTACTTTAGAATATTAACAGCAAACAATTAAGAGCTTACTCTGGGCCAGGCAGTGTGTTAGGGATGAGGCAGAGCTGTTTGGACCAGGCCCTGTGGTAGTCTGTGGGCCCCAGCCACAGAGTCTGCCCTGATAGGTAAGGTGAACTCCGTGCTGGAACTGCTTCCAGGCTCTTCTCAACCCGGGGTTGCCCAAGGTCAGTAGCACCGAGTGGCTAGCAGCCTTGATGATTTTGCACAAAATATCCCAGGAACTGTCAATGTCAAAGATGTTGGACATGGAAGAAATAGAGCGACTGCATTGAAAATGTACAGAATGAAAAAGCAGCTGATAGCTTTGATGGCTCCCGTGTGAGCCTCCATACTGTGGGCCCTGAAGCCTGTGCCATTGCTTTCCATGTGTATAGAGTGTGTCTGTCTCCTGAGAGAGATGATCACAGCAGGGTGACCACATGGATAACATGATCAGAGGAATGACAGTCCTCAAGTTATGGGGAAGAACCAGGTTGACCACATTGGTCTCAGAAAAGTACTTCTCAGTGGTGTTGGAGGAGGGGATAAGAGTGGAACTGTGTCCATATGCATTGAGGGTATATGTGGAGAAGGGGAAGCTGAAGCATAAGGAGGTGAATGGGGATATCCTCAGAAGCCAAGGCATCAGCACCATGATTTTCCTCTTCATCATGGAAAACAAAGGTGAATAAAGTTTGTAATTAAAAGGCAAAAAACTGAGCCAGGCAGGAAGCCAGTTTGGAATAGCTGAGAGAAATGATGATGACTTTGAAAAGTATATACACTGTGTTTTGGTTATAAGTGATCCAGAAAAGTAGACTGTAGGTACTCTCCAGCATTATCCATACCTGTAACAAGAGCCTGAAAAAGCTCAACACAACGCGAATGCAGTCACTAACAGAGAGTCTTTTGCTCCTGGCCCACCTGGCCCCATGTATGGCCAGGATGAGGCATTCCCAGCGATGCCAGTGATGCACCCTGTTCGAGAGACTCCCATGTTGAAGACAGTTTTAAACCTGCACATGTCTTTACCTGTGACATCTGTTTTTACTGTCGCCATTCTCTTTGGCCCTGATGTTCAGGTTTCCACACCAAGAACTGATACCCTCTGCAATCTTATGACCTTCACTCAGTGTTATCACTCAATGTTTTCCCCAGGTAATGGTTCCTTACAGTTTTTCTTCATTTTCTTGCCACATGACTATCAGTCAGAGGCTTGAAATACAAATGTTGAGAGGATCTGGTTACCTACTGGCTGTGTCCATTTTTAATAAAGACCCATTTGTCTTGGGCTTTCAGGAACTTACTGGAAAACATTTGGGACAGGTTCCTACCATAGCACCTTCGTAATTTATTTACTTTAAGTTCATATTCATCTGACAGGGCAAGTGTCCCAGGTTAGGAATCTTAGTGACCCATGCCTTTTTACTGGTTTTTGCAAGACATGTTACCTGTAAAAATGTAGCTTCTTTCTAACCTTGAACCTTTGGTAACCACGAATCTAAAACCTGCAATGGCAATAAGAACATATCTTTCAATAATCACCCTAAATGTAAATGGACTGAATTCACCAATCAAAAGACACAGAGTAATAGAATGGATAAAAAAGCAAGACCCATCTATATGCTGCTTACAAGAGACTCACCTCAAACCCAAAGACATGCACATACTAAAAGTCAAGGAATGGAAAAAGATATTTCATGCAAATAATAGGGAGAAAAAAGCAAGTGTTGCAGTACTAGTATTAGACAAAATAGACTTCAAAACAAAGAAAAAAGAAAGTAACAAGAGATAAAGAAGGACATTACATAGTGATAAAGGGGTCAGTCCAACAAGAGGATATAACCATTATTATATATGCACCCAATACAGGAGCACCAGCATATGTGAAACAAATACTAACACAATTAAAGGAGGAAATAGAATGAAATGCATTCATTTTAGGAGACTTCAACACACCACTCAATCCAAAGGACAGATCCACCAGACAGAAAATAAGTAAGGACACACAGGCACTGAACAGCACACTAGAAGAGATGGACCTAATAGACATCTACAGAACTCTACACCCAAAAGCAGCAGGATACACATTCTTCTCAAGGGCACATGGAACATTCTCCAGAATAGACCACATACTAGGCCACAAAAAGAGCCTCAGTAAATTCAAAAAGATTGAAATCCTACCAACCAACTTCTCAGACCACAAAGGTATAAAACTAGAAATAAATTCTACAAAGGAAGCAAAAAGGCTCACAAACACATGGAGGTTTAACAACATGCTTCTAAATAATCAATGGATCAATGACCAAATTAAAATAGAGATCAAGCAATATATGGAAACAAATGACAACAACAACTCAAAGCCCCAACTTCTGTGGGATACAGCGAAAGCAGTTCCAAGAGGAAAGTATATAGCAATCCAGGCATATTTAAAGAAGGAAGGACAATCCCAAATGAATAGTTTCAAGTCACAATTATCAAAATTGGAAAAAGAAGAACAAATGAGGCCTAAAGTCAGCAGAAGGAGGGATATAATAAAGATCAGAGAATAAATAAATAAAATTGAGAAGAATAAAACAATAGAAAAAATCAATGAAACCAAGAGCTGCTTCTTTGAGAAAATAAACAAAATAGATAAGCCTCTAGCCAGACTTATTAAGAGAAAAAGAGA